ATGTTTCTCCTTGTCCACATGAGTGTAAATTGTGCATGACATCCATCAAAAGGATATATTTTGAACTACGTTATGACTTGATCCCTTAATAGGGTACGTAGGCAACTTAGAATCTCTCTAAGTTCAGTCATGATTTCAAAAGATGTATGTGCTTTGCTAGATCAAGCTGCAATTGAAGTTAAGCAATTATCGAGACTCATTCACTCCAAGACGCATTGTCCGTGAACAAGTCTCGAGGGGGCATTTGTAGACACGTAAATTTAATATAATTTATATTATATTAAATTGAATCCCAAGATTATAATTTATCTTGCAAAATAAGTCATTGAGATAATTATCAATTAATTATTGACCAATAGGATTATTTCTTCTCTTCCAAGTTATAGAGATAAATATCAATTTAAAGAGAGCCAATCAAATCGCGCCACATCATCAAATAGACTTTAAGTGGGACTCTTATTCTACCACTATAAATAGGGACCCTCCCTACACAATTCAGGACACAACTCAAGAAGAAGAAAAACCGTTGGAGAAAATTCTCTCTACAATATTCAAGTCGTTTTTCAACAAATTCAAAGTGTTCTTCATCAAATCGAGGGTGTTCTTCAACGAATCAAGATTGAAGGAAGATTGAAGGGCCAAATCCATCAAGAACTCCAAGATCTTCAAGTCAAAACCCGTCAAAGTTCAACAAATCAAGATCGAAGGAAGATTGAAGGGCCAAATCCATCAAGAACTCCAAGATCTTCAAGTCAAAACCCGTCAAAGTTCAGCGTTCGATCCGAGATTCAAGTCGCAAGACCCTTGGAAGACGTTATTCAAATCCAAATCAAATCCTGAGAAGATCAAGTCAACGACCCGACTCCGAAATTCAAAGTCAAACGCATATTATTCTTGAGAGAAGAATCAAAGGATTAAATTAGAGTTTGTAACCTGCAATATTTTATTTTAATCTAATAAATTATCTTTGTGCAAGTTTTTCTTATTTGTTAAATTCGCAGATAAGAATTTGTTGCTACAACAACAACTTAACATATTCAAAACAACATCCATATCTACACATCTCAACTACAAACTAGTGTAATATATCAAACGATAAATCGCATCTGATAAACTAAAATATTCATATTGATAAACCACAACAGCATATCCATATCCATAGATTAGAAACGTATCCATATCCATAGATACCAACTAAACATGCAACAACAATAAACATAAATATTTAGATTACTACCGTTTGAACAATAAAATTGCATTACACTTACCGAAATGTGAAATTGTTCGGAAGTTGTTGTCCCATTAAACGATTCTTCTGTATCTCCCTCCTCACTTATAGTTGGCCTGATTCCCCTCGACACATCAATGCCCATGTAGGCTTTCTTATACGTATGAAACACCGTAGGACTTTTGCAATTTTTTTAAACAATAATAATAGATTATAAAGTAAGTAGGTATTTTAAACTTAGATAAATTAATTGTGGATCAAATCACTTATATGACTGTAGGAACAACTATTGATACTTGTTCGACCCCAATGGTGGTTTGTCGAGACTTTCTTTCGCGAGTCATTGCATTTATTTGATTTGGACTGTGAAAAAAATAGCACACAAAATAATACACTTTAATATATATAAATATGATCCATAAATTAAAAGTACAGAATTTACATTCCCATCAACCCCAGGAGTAGAAATAGAATGAAACTTATTCACATAGTTTCTCCTAAGTTTGAGCATTGATCCTATTTGGACGATTTGCCTTAGCAGTTGCAAGGTCTGGCGCTCTATCAAAAATTGCCTTCAATCCTTTAGATTTTTACATCTTTCTAACGACCATTCGCAGCCTCATTGAACCATTTCTTTGTAGACTTATTTTCAGGAAGTTTTCAGGTTCCCTAGCAGGCATAACGAAGATTCCATTGGTTTGAAACAAAATAATTTAAATAACTTAATCAAATAAAAGAATTTTAACTTTCAAATACTTTTGTTACCAATTTGGTCACTCTTTCTTCTCACTTATTTGGTCACCAATTAATTATTTTTACTTTGTTAAAAATATGTTGCAAACGAAGTTTACGTCAAATCAAACACTTACATAGAATTGAAACCTATGACGAAATTATTTGTCTTGTAACTGCTGAATGCGCCATTGGTAAGCAAGGTTACTTATCGAGATTTTATTCTTAATAGTCTTGAAATGCTCCCTAAAAAGATTTGTGTATTTTTTTGGTCTTTGTTTTAACCGCCCTTTACTTTAATATGAAATTACATATTTTTTTTCTTTTTTTCTCTCTTATCTTTCTCTTTCTCTTTCCTCTTTAATATTTTTCTCTTTCTCTTTCCTCTTCCTTGCCCATTGCAATTCAAAGCTCAAGTTTCAGTTACTTTTTTCAAACTACGAACGAAAAGGAAGACGAAAAAGCTCAAGAAAAAAACTCATGAATCGGTACAAACGAAGCAACAAGAACAAAGAAAAGAAAAAAACAATAAAGTTTGATTTTTCTTTTCATTTTCTGGCCAAATATTTAGAAATCGGATCCAAATTTTATTTTTTTCTTGCTTAAGTTTGCAGGAAAAAAACATACATGTTGTCAAATTGCTTGATTTTAAACATTTCCATTCGTGGGAATGCCTCGAAGACATCGGCGTTTTCCTAAACCATTAATTTTTCTCCTATATCTGTTTGTTGTTTAACTTTTTAAAAATCATTTATCTGTTGTTGAATTGCATGGTTATGAAGATTTTCACACTTACATATTATTCCTCCATGACATTAGCCTTTCTTCAAGGAATTTTTCGTCCTAACAAGGGATACCGTATATATGTCGTATTAAACAATAGTATTACTAGTGTGGTTAAATGATGTTGAAACAATGGATTGAAAATACTGATACTGTAACTTTATAGTTTTTAGTACTTAGTACTCTTTATATTATATTTATGTTTATCTTGTTGTAGAGACGGATAAATAAAGTATCAGAGCATTCAAGGCTGCAGAATGCTCATCATTCGCTTTCAAAGACGCTTATTAAGAGCTTGTTCGGTTACCGCTATAAGGTTCTATTGACTAAATACTAGGGGCTACTAACATATTCGGTTGGCAAGATTCACACTTTTTCAAACCCGCTACTAAAATCACAGCCCGCTATTAAATGCTACTATTTCATTAAATTAGTAGCACCCCTCCCCCTGAGATTAAATATATGGGTGACTAAAAAGGAAAAATACAATTTTATCCTTAAAATCATATTTTATTATTGTAACTAAATGGTTTTATAGACAATTCATATATAATAACTGATTTTAACAAATTTAATAGAAAATCTAATCTAAGAAACCGAACATGCTACTAACTAAATAATTTATTAGTCAGTAAAAAATTAATCCAATCTCATTTAATCAAATCTAATCCAGTATAGGTAACCGACCAAGCCCTAATAATATAGGGAAAATTAGCAATAACCCCCTCACTTAGGAAATGTAGTTAAGGAAACACCCCCTCCCAAAAGTAATTAGAGAAAACATTTTTATCTAATATTCCACCCAAATAATATTTTCATAATTTCAAAATTATTTTTAATTGTCCACACTCTCTCTCCTCATTTTTCCTCATCTTCTCTTCTCTACGTACTTTTTTATTTCTCTCTCCTCCTTTTTCCTCCTCTTATCTTCTCTACGTATTTTTTTCTTTTTCTCTCCTCATTTTTCCTTCTCTTCTTCCTCTTTCTCTCCTTTTTCCATATCTTCTTCTTCTCACGTACACACACACACTCTCTCTCTCTCATTTTTCCTATCTTCTTCTTCTTCTCTACTGTACTCTCTCTCTCTCTTCTCATTTTTCCTCTTCTTTTGCTCTATATAAATGGAAAAGATTGTCACTCATATCATCAACGGGATTGAAGCCGATACACATTAATATCTTTATTTTTATTTTTATTTTTTCTTACAATAAATCGCGTATGAAATTAAGAAAGAAAAAAACAACACCCAATTTGTTTTGGGATTAATTTGTGCAAATATATGATGAGTGTGAGTAGATCTGTTAGAATTTTCTATTAATTTTGACAAGATTACAGTTTGTTGGGAACAAAGTATGAATTTCCAGATTCTTCATCTTCTTTCTTCTCTGTGTTTTTTTTTTTTTTTTCTTTTTTTTCTTCTGCTTGTTATATTTTAATGGAGTTTTTCAATAAAGTCGTTAATGGAGGATTCCAGTTCTTGAAACTGGGAGACTGGGAGATCGAACTCCTACTATGGTTGACAAAGTGTGGTGTGACGGTAGTATGTTGACGATAGGGAGGTAGATTTAGGGTTTTTTGGTGGATCGGGAAGATAACGACGCGAGTAGAGCAATTTGCGCAGGCTGAAACCTTAATCGACTATGTATATTTTCAATAGTCGATTAAGTTAATCAACTCCAATTTTTTTTATATTGATTATAATTGTATAAATCAATTATAATGTTTTCATATTTTTTGTTTTTGCAAAATATATTTGATTTGTATTATTTTGTAGTTTTGATTTTTTTATTTTTAATAGTCAGATTCTTAATCGACTATGCTTATATCGCATAGTCGATTAATATACCTGATATAAGGAGAAAACAAAAGTTAAAAAATAATTTTTTTTTTAAAAAAATTAAAAAATTAAAAATTTTAAAAAAATTATAAAAAAAAAAAAAAAAAAAAAAAAGCCTGATGAGGTGGCAGGTGCATAATTGGTGATAGTGTTGATGAGGTAGCATGGGCATAATTGAAAAATGAGTGGCTAAAATTAGGAAGAGGTTTTCCTCAAATGGTAATAGTTTGGACCTCTCCCTATTAAAACAAGTAGGGATAATTACACTTTTCGTCCCTATACATTACCACTTAAACGATTTTCGTCCCTAAACAAGATGAAGTTACAATTTTCGTCCCTAAACATGTCACTTTTATGCCGTTTCTGTCCCTCCGTCCATTTGTCCAGTCAGTTTGGACGGAAAATCGCACGTGTGCCGCACGTGACACACAAAAGCACCTCTACACCTCAAAACGTTCAATCACGCATTAGTATTTAATAAACTTATAGTATTAGGTTCCACCCCTTCAGTCTTCATTTTCTCGACGATTTTTTCCATCCCACTAATATCATTGGACAACCCTTTGGCACTTATCAAAACGTGGTAAGTGAAGTATGATGGCTTGATATTTTCTTTCTCCATCAACGACAAAACGTAAGAAATTTTCTTGTTGTCGGTTCTCTTGTACAGAAGTAACAATTGATTGCAAGAAAAGCATGTAACAGGGAATAAGCTCTTCATTTTGTTGAAGAGATCTTCGGATTTCTTCACATTGCCTGTAGAGACGCAGTTTGCCAGTAGGGTACGGTAGACAATTTCACCTCTAAAAGATTCGGGGATTCGCTTAATGTACTCTTCTGCCTTGGGTATACCATGGACTTTGACGATTAAATCAACACGAGAGGCGTAATTACTCTCGTTAAACTCAAGGAGCTTTGTCTGCTCCAACCACTCCGACATCTACAAAAAATATAAAGTGGAAAAGTTAATTCCCCATCCAAATCTCGTATATCCATAGACAAATATATGCATATTGCATCAGCCAACTTATAAAAGTATACGATACCCATGCAAAAGAAATCTGAATCTTGATTTGGAAAACAAGCTAAGCCAAATTATTTCTTTCATGAGAGCATCCTAAATCATCTTAACTGACTATAACTTCGTCTGTCAGAATTACGGTACACAATTGATTGATTCTAATCGAGACTGAGGGATCTCTCCAGCCAAACAAAGGCTCTCAATTGGCTACAAAGTGAAAGATTCGTTCACCGTTCTTATTTACAATCGGAGCACCCAGTACAGCCTTTGTGAATGCTGAATGAGGATTAGTTTTGGGAAAACTTTTCTTTTCAGCATCACCCTCAGTAGTGACACTCTCACCCTCGTACATATCTGATTCAGACATTGAATCATCTACGTCATCTGCAGAAGCAGCTTTTCGGAAAAAGCATCCTCCAAATCATCATCTTGCTCGACTCTGCTCTTTGCACCGGCTTTTGAAAAAAGAGTGCGTACATTCATATACGAGTTTGAAGAGCTTGGTGATGCGTTGAAATATCTCGTTGAACACACCGATGCATCTAACAGGTTTCTATGAGATTCCACAATTTCGGTATTATAGTTTTCGGAGTAACATATTGCTGTATCTGATTTCACAGAGCGAATTCGAGCAAAACCCTGAATTTAATCCTCGATTCCCGGAGAGAGAGAAAGAGATGTTTTACACATCACAATAATGACATTACAATAAGCCACCTAATTTCAAACTAAAGTCAGATAGGAATACATAAATAATGGAACAGACTTATTTTGAGGTGTAGAGGTGCTTTTGTGTGTCACGTGCGGTGCACGTGCGATTTTCCGTCCAAACTAACTGGACAAATGGACGGAGGGACAGAAACGGCATAAAAGTGACATGTTTAGGGACGAAAATTGTAACTTCATCTTGTTTAGGGACGAAAATCGTTTAAGTGGTAATGTATAGGGACGAAAAGTGTAATTATCCCAAAACAAGTATTAAGGGGTTATATCAAAGAGCCCCAATAATATAATATTCTAATGAAGCATATTTCATTAAAGTGTGTATATAATTACTCATAAAATTTTATTTACATTTGTCAATAAATTTAATTTAAGTTACAAAACAAGACATTATAATTGTGTGTTGTTAAAAAAAATATTATTTATGATTCAAACCCTATGATTTGATTCAACTCATACGCTCATCTTTCAATTTCTTTTACTAAAGTTTAGAAAACTCCAGTTGAATATTTTATCTTGAGATTATTTTGTAGACCCCATCATTTCCAAATTATATAGAACTAACTATCATAGGATTACATTTTAGGGGATATCCCCTCATTTCAAAAATATTTTGACATACCCCCTGGGCTACCCTGAAGTCCCTACCCTTTTAAAATAAGTTTTAAACCGTAGCCCAACACATTTCGGTCTCTCTCTTCCTCTCCCAAATTCAAAATCCCACCTCCACAAACCTCCCACCGGCGAAATTGCTTCCCGGAATCATAACTCCCTCTCCGGTGGTCTGAATCGATGGTTTAATTACTGTTGGATTCCTCTTGTCGAGCTCTTCCTTTTGGTGGTGATTTCATTCAGTTTGGAGCGCTGATCTGTTTCTGCAATTTTTTTCCATTCTACGACGGTAGTCTGACCGGAGCTTTGTTTTGTGTTCTACCCGTCGAAATTTGACGGGCTACCCACCGATGGATTCCTCTCGTCGAGATCTATATTTTGATGGTAATTTTGTTTATTTTTATGTTTTCAGATTTATTTCTATATTTTTTGCATTTGTGGGCGCGCGGAACCGCATGTGGTTATTAGCGGCGTCTAGGGTTTTGGCAGGAGGCGAGGGGAGTGAGGAGTCAATGTCTGTTTGATTTAAAATATGTAGCATTTTCCAGCAATAACCTCTCTCTCTATCTCTCGATCTCTTAGTGTTTGTTGATTTTTGAGTGTTTTGATATTTTTTCAAATTTTGTTGATTTGCACTAAAGTAATTTTTTTTGGGTTTTGATTTTGCAATTGCAGCTTGATGAAGGCCATTAATCCTTTCCTTGAAGGGGTCAAAATTTTTGTTTGAAGTTACATCTACTTTGTTCAACAGACTGTATACATTACTGTACATTTCTATATATTATATTATAGTAACATGTAGTTACATATGCGTATATTTGTGTATTTTCAATTTGTATTTTATTGGTTCTAGGGTGATTTATAATAAAAATATTGAAATTTGTAAGTTTTTGTTGGGTTTTTATGAATTTCTTTTGTATAAGCCAATATTCGTGTGTGTATACAATTGATCGAAAAAAAATATGGGGAAAAAAACGAGCATAACTACGAATTACTATAGGTACTATAGTTACATGTACTTATTTTCAGTACAGTAAATATATAATTAAAAAAAATGAAAAAAAGATTAATTTTTTTTTTAATTTTAAAAAATAATGAAAAAAATATATATATATATATATATATATATATATATATATATATATATATATATAACAAACAGGTTTATTATTTAAAAAAGAAAAGGGGAAATAATAAAAAATAAATCAGCGAAAATGATAAATGCAGGACCAGAAATGTTGAATGCAGTTTTGGCCGAAAATTGCATATAAGGGTAGTATAGTACTTTCGCTTCTCCGGGTGGTATGTCAAAGGATGATTTGTGCTTGGGTTTATCCCTAGTTTATTTGGTGGCTATGGGGTATTTAAAATAACCCATTTTATCTTATGACTTTTTTTCTTTTTAATAAACACATATATTGAAAAAGGGTTGTTCGACAAACACTACTTGTTGAATTTCGGCTTTATGACAAATTCGTTTTTTTTAATTGATATTTGTTATAAACTCAATCAACCCAAAATACTAAAAATGCCTATTTACTGCAACGGAAAAGCAACGGAAAAGCAGGAAAAAAAAAAAGAAAAAAAGAAAAAACCTGATTTTTTTTTAGAGGAAACGTGAATTTCATTAATGAGGAAGCTCAGATTTTACAATATCAATAATAAAACTAGGAAGAACATTCAACATTAAAGAGTCTATCGACGAAAGTCTAGCAATCTCATGGGCTGCACGGTTTGCTTCTCTCTTAACGTGACGAATCTTGAACCCTTCAAACGTGTTGGCTAAGCGTTTAATATCGTCAATAACATTACCATAGATCGTGCGACTACTGAACTCTCCAGCAATAGCAGCAACTATAGTGCTAGAATCGCATTCGAGAACTACTCTACTCCACCGGTGGTTTTGGGCGAACTCCATAGCTTTGAGAGCCGCCATAGCCTCGGCTGAAGTAGGATCAATGAAAAGAGGACAATGTGTAGAAAACCAGGCTAAGCAATTTCCATCCGATGTCCTTGCCAAACCCCCTAGCCCGCAACCATGTTCCACCGAAGCAAGTGAAGCGTCGACATTTATTTTCACCTCGTCTCTAAATGGAACCTCCCACTTGATACTCGATCTTTGCATCTTTAATGGAGGTTTTGAACGAAGAACTTCGGAAACAGGCTCCCGCATCTCCATAAGAAAATTCTTTGCGAGCAAGATAATGTCAAGAGCCGAATAGTTGGCCTCCTCGAAGTATTTCTTGTTTCTTGCATACCAAATAGCCCAGCAGACCACAACACAATATTCAAAATCAATTTTATCAAGCTTCTTCTTCATTTGCAATAACCAATCCACAAGTGAGCAATTATTCGGCCAATGGATCGACCATGCCACTCCACTTAACGCCCAAACCTGCCTCGCAAACGAATATAAGGACAAACAATGCAAAACATCCTCCTCTGCAGCCCCACAAATTCCACATAAACTGTTCACTAAAATCTTCCGATTAGTAAGATTTTGGCGTGTCGGAAGAATATTATTACAACAACGCCATAAAAAGATCTTGATCTTATTCGGCAAATTCAAGTCCCAAAGCCATTTCCAAGGGCTCGATGAAACAAGAGATGAACCACTTGCAATATTAACACTCGCTTTCTCTTGCTCTAAATGAACCGCGGTATGGTAGGCGCTTCGAACGGAGAATAACCCATTCCTGATAGTATATATACAAATCTTGCCCCTGTTGATATACACCGCAATCTCCTCCAAAAACATTGCTTACGAATCTCGCTCCCACCTAAAACCATATTTATCCTGGCACACCTACTCCTCATGAGTCTCACTAATTTCAAACACAAAAATACCACATACATTAAACCGTTGTATAATAGAACACATAAGTTTTATAATTAAATAATACTAAAACAATATATTTAGTTATAAAAACCACTCACATTCCAAACCACAAATGCAAAAACCACAGTTCAAATAAAATGTGTGCTTAATTAGTAAATCCACAAACACGAAAACTACGATTAGTAAAGCCACGCACCCTTAAAAGTTTCAATCGTCATTCCAATACACTTTGTCGCGCTGTGCTCGGAGTAAGACACTGCTTCTTCGGCATTGGCAGAAGTGTGCCCTGATAAAGCATCATGAAGATTCCTTATAAAATAATCACGGTAGTATGACGGCAACGACATAAAAGTACCACCACCCATCAAAATGAATTCAACCTGTATGCCCATAAAAGTTTGAAACAAGGAACATTATTCAGGTTGCTTAAAATCGGTGCAGAAATTTAAAAAAATGGTTAATCTCGAAAATGCCCATGACAAGGGCACTTAATTAAAAGGGGATATCCAATTTTTTGGTCTTTTAAATATTTCCAGTTCATTTAAACTTATTTGCAAATAAAGAAAACTTTTTTATATATATCAAAATTACCCCCAATTCATTGAAACTCAATTCAACTCCAATTTCATGATTTACACCCCAATTTAGCCAAATTTCACCAATTAACCAATTTTGACGCTAATTTCAACTTTGACCCCAATTTGACGCGCCACCACCGGAGACCGCCGGTCTCCGACGTTGACTTCTATTTTTTTTTTTTTTTTGAAAACTTTTTTTTTTCCTGAAATTCTTTT